GTCTGGGGGGGCCGCACCGTCCCGCCTGCGACAGGGACCCCGCTGCTCGGCGACCGGACCCGGACGGCCTCGGGTGAGCTTTACTTTTATTACTTGATGATGATGATGATGATGATGATGATGATGATGGTGGTCAAAGCGCCACCTTCCGAGTGAGGTGAGCGCGGGAGGCGGTTGTGGAAAACCTGGGGGGCCGTGGGGAGCCCCCGCGCGCGAGGCGGGTGACGGGGTGCGGCCTGAGCTACCCGCGGGGTCCGGAGCACTGCCCACCGCGGGGTCCACGGCACTGTCCGCAGCGGGGTCCGGGGCACTGTCCGCAGCGGGGTCCACAGCACTGTCCGCAGCGGGGTCCGGAGCACTGCCCACCGCGGGGTCCACAGCACTGTCCGCAGCGGGGTCCGCAACAGGGTCCACGGCCGGGTCCGCAGCGGGGCCCGCGAGCCGNAGCCTCTGAGCTGCGCGTCCCTGCGAGTCGGCGGCGGGAGGAAACGGGCGGCCGCTCAGCCCCGGGCGCGCCCGGGTGAAGGCAAAACGCGCCCGCGCGAGAGCCCGTCCACGGAGGGTCGCGGCATTGTCTCTAACAGCCCCGGGTGGAGACCACCGAGGGCACCAGCTGGCGAGGGGAGGCCGAGCCGAGGCGGGCGCGGTGCCCGCGCGTGGGTAGCGTTCAGCCGTCGGAAGTGGGGCGCGCGACACGGCGGGCGAGCCTCANCCGCGGGAGCCGGATGCGAAAGGCCGCGGTTCCGTTTCCAGGGCGACGAGCTGGCCGTGGGGCAGCGAGCAGACGCGGGGCGCAGGGGCGGGGTGACCGTCCCGGGCACAGGCCCCACGTTGGGGACCCCGAAGGGTTTCGGGCACAACCTGGTGAACGTACCGAGCACCGCTGGGTTCTATGCTCCGAGATGGTTAAAAATGTGACGTTTTGTGAGTTTAATTTCAACCAAGAAAAACACGCACCTATTCCAAACCTTCCTGATAGAGGCAGATGTTGTCTGATTGCGAGTGGATCGGCCCACCCGGGAAAAGCGCCCTGTGATTGGACCCCATCGGCTCCACGGGGCCCCCAGGGTCTCTGAGCCTCCTGGGGTAGGAAGTGGATGTTGTCAGATCCCTGTTTTTAATGTTTTTATTGATTTCAGGGAGAGAGAGAGAAACATCGATGATGAATCATTGATCGGCTGCCTCCTGCTCGCCCCCTACTGGGGACGGAGGAGCCTGCACCCCCGGGCATGTGCCCTGACCGGGAATCGAACCGCGATCTCCTGGATCCTAGGTCGATGCTCAACCGCTGAGCCACACCGGCCGGGCCAGCGGTTCTTTCCTTGAGGTAGCAGAAGTAGCTGATCCCAGGGCCGGCCCT